CCCAATGGCAATCGCTCTCGGCAAACATCGGAATCGCGTCAGTGGCCATCGGCACAGCCATTGTCTCCCCTCCCCGCGTTTATCGTCGAGCGTGTCGAGCGTGACAAATTCATGCCCGCGCGTGTAGGCAAATCCCACACAATGCACCGCAAGTCCCGTGGATATCATCACCGCTATACCCAGTGCATTAAACTTTGGTGCCATAATCGTCACGTCTGGTCGTTTAGTTGCTGCGTGTGCGCCGCGCACAGCGTCACCGGTGCACGGTGTTATGTGATGGAGACTAGTCCAACGGCGGCGATAGATGCCGAGGCTTTATTTCCGCTCGTCGATCGAACGGCCATTTGGCTGCTTATGTACGAGGAGCACGCGCTCGCCCAAATGAGCCCTGCGAGGCAGAGAAAGGGGAGGAGGAGGTAGAGAAAAGCTGGCTCGGCGCCGATTAAATTACTTCGTTAGTAGCGGTACCCAAGACGCGCTCTCCCCCTCTCTGCGTGTCTGACGTGTGTGTGTGTGTGTGTGTGTGTGTGTGCACGGATCGATGGTAATTTTCTTTGGCTTTCCTGGAACGCTAATACGCTTGTTGTTGTCGGTGGCTGATGTTGCTGCTCTGATATACCGCGTCACTACACCTTTGCAGAAATTTTTCAACCGGTCACTCCTTTATTTATTATTCATTCCCTGCTTTTGCAAACAACGATCGATACATTTTGTTTATTCATTTTTGCCCTTTTTTTTTCTTTTTTTTTTTTTTTTTTTTTTTTTCAAATGTAAATGCACACGCTGTATCCTTCCGATTGGGCACGACAAGCACTTATTTATAACACAGTGAAAATAATTTCTCATGTACAGGTACTTATAATCATCTGCAATGTTACCCTCCAAATAATTACCATCACACCGAAGAAAGAGAGCTTCGGTCGATTTCGCGTTCAGGAAAAAAATGTAAACAACAAACAAAAAGGACTACCTCAGCCTTGTTGCTCATTAAAAAAAAAAAAAAAAAAAAAANAAAAAAAAAAAAAAAAAAAAAAAAAAAAAAAAAAAAAAAAAAAAAAAAAAAAAAGTAAAGCCAAGCCTTGCAACTGTTTGGCCTTCCGGAGGCAGTTGGTCGTCAATGGGCGGACTCGTTTTAATAGTAGGTAGCCGAGGATGGAAAGCGAGTCGGGGGCGCGAGTTTAATTGGAAGCGAAACCGAGGTTCAGCCGCGGGAAAGGAAACACGATGTAGAGCGCCAATAAGAAAGAAAAAGAGAGAGAGAAGGAGATGGAAAAGTATATATGTATACACGTGTAGCCCAGCTCTTCATTCAGCTCTTCTGCCGCACGCGATAATCTCCTCTCCAATTAACGTCGTCTCGGATGCGCGACCTACACCCACCGACACTCGCATATATACCAATACACACAATCGAAGCTCGGTATGTTTGGGCACAGGTGACGCGGGTAACGCAAGCAAATGTCGGGGAGAAAGGATGAAGAAGGGGGAGATAAGGCCAAGCCGTTAATTGAACTCGCGAATGAGCCGTGGGAGCGAGGCTTTCACAGCTCCATGATCCCGTTACAATATTTCGGATTAACCCGGGAGCCTGGCACGCGCCGCGCGCTTTCGGGCGCTAATGATACTAATTAGCCCTGGGATTAGCACAATGTGATTTTGCTGGGTGTGCGCACTTGAGCTTTGCGCTTTCTCGGGGATGAAAATGTAGAGTAATGGGACAAGGTGGGGGGGATGGGGGTACATTTGGTTAATGCGGAAAATGTATTCGGTGCCACGGTGGTGGAACTTGGATGTATCCAAAGTGGATGGCGTTTGCAGAAAAACAAAAATCGTATCGGCATTTTGATGTATTTTTGCGAGGAAGGGAAAAACTAGTGGGAAAATTACCATTTTTATCGGGCGGTAAACGTGAGACTTTGGCTTCATTAAATTCTACCACCCTGTACCGTTCGACGTCTAAAAACTTTATCTCGGTGAAAAGTTTCCATTTCCACGCCCTGTCCCGTCGGGAATTCTTGAAAAATAGTCTCTCTCTCTCTCTGCTATCGGAGAAAGAGGATCTGGTTTACGTAAAAATTTATGCAATGCCCAGGAGCAAAAAAAAAGTATGTATGTATATATATGCACAACTTAAAATAGGTAACACTTTTAAAAAGCCAGTGTATTATTTTTTCTTTCACGACTTTTGTTACGCAAGCGCGAGAGGTAAATAATGATGGATATGCGTTCGGCTATCTAACGGGTTGCGCAACAACTTCACTCCCTGGATTTTCCGTAAATGAACGAGATAGAAATAATTAATTAGACCGTCCATCTCGGGCGTTATTGTTATTGTTAGAGTGCGCCATTTTACCGGGTTTATGATCGCGATTTTCTTGCGCAAGGGCGTTTCTCGGTAACACATGGTGTTGGTGTGCAATTACTGGGTATACTAAGATAGCTGAAACGCGATTCCCCAGCAGATGTTACGTTTCTAATTAAATCCGTGAGATATTTACACTCGGATAGTTCTTTTTTGTTTTCAGTTTTTTTTCTCCTTTAAATAAACCATGTGATCAATTATAACTTCAGAGGTATCATGATTGGATTACTCACTGTAAATCCAAGTGCCTCAAAATAACGCGTTGAAGCATGTAGATAAAGCTGTCATGTCTCAAGTAAAATTTCATAGCGATTGACTTTTTTCGGTTCCAGATCATCCAATTTTGATAAGCTATGACAAACAGATTGAGGTATTCAGCAGTTGTTTAGTTACGTTTCCTGTTACGCTTCATAAATGAGGTGAAATTGGATGAAATGTGCTCGTACAAGTACACCAATTGAGGCATCAATCACTCTTCGTTATCCCCATTACCATTCGATGTTGGAATATCAGATGAATAAGCGATTGGAATTATTTTTCAATTTTTCTTCATAATAGTTTGACACAATAATCATAATAACGCCGTGGCAATATCCTGCTTAATCCTGTCGGGATGGCAACGAAAGCGTCCGCCGTCCGTGATTCCTGGAGTCATTAAAAATCGCTCGATCCGAACAAACTGCACGCGTAAAGCTGGAAGGACATTTGCACAAACGCGCGAGCAAATAAATTGAATTTCCCCGTTAACGTCCTCCCTTTTGAAAAACAAAGAGTCAACACAGTTCGGATAATCCCGACGATCCATTACGAGGGGGGGAAAAAAAAAAAATTCGCTTCCGATGAAATTAGCGGCTGGCCGCGAGCTCGGAAATCCATTCGAATATAATTGCGTTCGCGAGCTTATACATACACGTTGACGCGGTGATAAGCGCGTGTAATATCCGCGCCGTAGAATTTCATTATTACCGATACGCGCGTTAATTGCACTTTAATGAACAACGCTCGGGTTTCATGAGTGTGTGTATGTGTGCTCTTTTCCGTTCGCAGTTGCGTTTGTTCGATTTCAATTTACTTTCTCTGGCTCTGTTACCTGTTACAACAGCCAATGACACCCGACACACCGGAACGGAACTGCAGCGCGTTTCGTTTGTTCCTTTTCCCTGCAATAATACTGCGTCCCTCTCGCGTCGGGCGCTATTTCTCTGTTTCGCTCTCTTTGGCTGTCTACTTTTCATGGGGAGGAAATACGTTTGTCGGCTGGTGACGCAAACGCCCAACGGAGAGTCGGAGTCGTTTAAGTAGTTCCTTCAAAAGATTGTTTTCTCCTTCCCGCGAGCGTCGGATTGAAATCGTATACGAAGCCAATGGTTGGAAAAAAGCTGTGTCTGAAAGCCTTTGTGGACAATATATTCATGATGTAGCGTGAAGTTTTTAATTTCAGTGAAGGACAGATTAATTAACGAACGTTCGCTAGCCAACTATAGACTTGAGGTCGTACGTATAGCCGTGACTATAATAGCCTAACAAAGTATGTAAGGATGCATAAATATCTGTTAGATGGATCTGAAATTTAACAATTTCAAACATTGATTAAACTTAAATTAGAGCAAAAGTCATGAAAATTTTAAAATAAAAATAAAAAGAATAAGAATTAGGGGGATATTACCGTTTAAGTAGTATAAGCGTAGCTGTAGTCAGACAGTACGATTTAGTGCTGTTTTATTTCTAACTGATGTGTACTTCAACATCGTATGAACATTGATACTTTGCTTATTGGTCTGCGTGAATTGTTGACCGTGATTTTTATAAGAAATATCCCTCGATTTCTCATTATCGAGGTCAACAAGTTTACGCACATCTACAACATTTGTTACAAAATTTTTTTCCCATTTCCGATAGCCGTTTCTCCTTTTTCCAACATTTTTCACTCGCATCCGTCCCCTTTCCTCTGGATTACGGCTACACGTGCTAGCCAGCGATTCCCGGGCTCCTCGACATTTTTCATCTTTCCTCTTTTTATAACTCTCCTTTCCGATTGACGTGAGATTCAGCGGGGGTCGCTCGTTATCCGAAAATCCCGATAGAATGCACGTGTCCTCGTAGAGTGGAAAAAGAAAAACGAGTGATGGCCGGGGTGTGAAGAAAAAAGACAGGCCATTCGGACCTTTTTCGGAAGGGACGTGATCCCTGGGTGCCCTTTTTTTCTACCGTATTCGTTTCTCTGCCCTCTCACCGTCAACGCTTTGATGTCTGCATGCGTTTCAATTTGACTTTTCCACGCGGCTCGTTTCCGAACATTCTACGTTTCAATTTATTCTTAATAATAATAAAATACATTATTTATGAAGCACAATCGCTCGGGTGGACATAAAAATCCTATGCGAGACTATCGATATCCGTTTCTTTGAAAAAAAAGACCATCATCGCGTAGGTTTTAACCCTCATACAAAAAACCGAACCACTTTTATCTCAGTCATGCATTACTCTCTTTTTATTCTACTAATAAAAAGATTCAAGGAAAAACAAAAGAACAAAAAAGAGGGGGAGGATAAAAAAAAAAAGAAAAAGAAAAAGCAGCAGATGCCCATAAATCTCTGGCGCAAGCTTCTTTTCTAACGCCTCGTCGTTGTTTTTCCAGGGCAATGGGCTCAGGTGCGAGCACTGTGGGTGGCGCGAGGAAACGGCAGCAACAGCAGTACCAGTCCTCGACGAGAACGTTGGTAACAAAGTCGGGGATAACAGCGACGACGGGGACAACGACAGAGGAGGAGCCGATGAGACTGTCCACGGGCTTGGGATTTATGGACGACACCTTCGCAGCCGCCACCATCGTCCCGATGTAGACCAACGCTGGGGACAAGTCAAGAGTAGAGGGGGGCAATCTCTCCCTCGCTCTCTCCGACCCTTCGAGCTTTTAATATCGCGGAGAGACTCGCAGCAGACAGGGGGAGACACGAGGAGCACACGGGCGTCTGGACGAGAGGCGAGGATCTCGTTGCCGGAGGCTTGCCTTCGAGCCGTCACGACGGCCGGCCACAGTAGCAGCAGGAGCGACAGCCAGCGCCACTCCCGCGTCGACCTCCACCCCACGTGGCCTGCGCTATTACCTGATAAGGTACGCCCCCCCTCTCTCTCTCTCTCTCCTCCATCGTGTGTCCTCGACTCGGCCCTTTTTCATCCCCCTCCCTCCCTTTATTGTCCTGGTGGTGACCCACATGGGAAAATTAAATACTCGGGCCGAGTCATCGATAGATTTTTTTTTTTTCCACCCAAGCCGTTAGGTAGGTGTACGTCTAAATAAAACGCGCTCCGTCAAATTGTCGGGGAAAATTAATTGGTGGTGTTAAAATTTTACTTCTCATCGCGATGAAGAATTCATTCGGGGCCGACGGCGTGGCTCAAATTGAATTCTCTTTTACGATGGAGCTTATAAATTTTTTACTGCAAAGTTGCTAATGGAATTGTACGATTGTGAAGATACGCTTTAGCGCAGATGACGATTTTCCATTAGCGAAAGGCCGCACAATGGAGCCGTCAAATAGTTCGAATGAAAACATTCATCGGCACAATGGTACGCAAAATCCGTCGTAAAGCTTTTTGCCTGAAAAAAAAGAAAACATCTCGATAGAATCGCCAACGGGTGTGTACGCAAAACGAGCGAGAACCCGTACTTTGGCTCGAAGCGGCCGAAAGGAAAATTGCATCGGGCACCGTAGCTGCCGACAGTCGGGCTCTCGACTGCCCGTACGCGTATAGATTCGCGTGTACGACAGGCTCCTGGCGCGATGCCACGCTAATTGGCCTTCGCCAGCCGTGTGCACACGACCGGTGGAACGCGCGGTATGAGCGGCCGTATATCTTTTTTATTTTGTTATTGCTCTTTTTCCCACGCTCCCCGATCGCGTGCCCGTGCAACTTTATCGGAGTACGAGTGTTCCGTTCTTTCTGCGCTACACCCGCTACGACCTATCGAATGCTGGGCCATCGCGTGTGTACACAGTAGCCGAGTTTTCTTCTTTTTTCTTCTTTTTTTTTTTTTTTTTTTTTATCATAAAAGTAATCTGGTGAGTAAAAGAAACGCTGATGGTACGTTTCATCATCCAGTCCCTCGGAAGTTTCTCGTTAAGCCCTTCAATTTCCCGGTAAAGCCGCCCTATATTTTCTTCTTTTTTTTTTTTTTTTTTTTTTCTCCCTCTTTCTGAACGTTTATCCGCGTCGCACCTGGTAAACGTTTGCTGACGGTGGACGGGGTCTTGTGTCCTGCTGTCAGCTTTTGTCAAGGTTTTTGTCTGTTTCGTATTTTTTTTTTCCCCCCCTTTGGTACCGAGTTTGTCTATTCTTTGCTAATGGCTCACTTGCCTCGACGATGAATCGTGCTTACGTTTTCCTAATGCTTACACTTGTAAAATAGCCAAGTTAGTTAGTTGCTTGAATAAAAGATGGAAGGAGTTATCATTTTCCGATGGTGCGTATATATCCGTGCCCGTGACCAGTGCAAGAGATAAGATAAGGCGAGTGTTGATTTTTTTTCGAGATTTCCATCGGCAACGCAACTTCCTATCGATTTATTCAGTTTCTCCCATGAATTTTAATGCCCTGCTCACTTTGACAGACTGACGCACTGGGAATTAGAATACGTATATATCTGGAATATAACTATGGACCGTATGGACGTAACTTAAATTATTAGGTATGGGCAAAAAAAAATCATTTTCGATAAGTATGAGATTTTTGGGAATAAAAAATGCCGAGTAGACTTTAGTTTTGAAAAATCGAGGTTTCCCGCAGGAAAGAAAATGTATCGCTTTATCGATCCTCCTCAATGCGGGTTAGTAAGACTTTTTTTAAACAAGTAGAGAATTTCAAGTTTGGTAAGCCAATGACTGGCCAGTGAATTATTTTTTGTGGCATGAGGTGGGCCACAGTTTTATCGCAAATATCACATTATACAGGGAAACACGTTTCACATAGTTTTTTCAACAATCTACGTGCAATTAGACAAAGATAGCTATAATTTCTTTATGGCACTATGTTTTTATCATAGAGTGTAGCACTGTTTTCGGTATCATTAGAATAATGCTGGTTTAGTTGGACGCAAAAATGGTACAATTTTTTCGGTCAAGTAGAAAGATCTGAGTTTAGTCAGCCAAAGGAAGCTAACTGCTTGTTTGTGGTATTCTATGATACTAATTTTAAGTACAACAATGTAGATTCAGTCAGGCAATGGAGGTTTATACTTTTTTGATGTACAGTTTACGATTTTAAGTAGAACAATACGAGTTTGGTCAGACAAAAACAACATTATGCTTCCACGCTTTAAAAGTCTTCTACAAGATGAATCATCTGTAAAAAAATTTATTATACTTTGTAATTTCAAGTAGAACAATTCGAATTTAGTCAAACATAGTAAAACCATACTTTCTTAGAATTTTGAGTATAATGGAGTTGGTTTAGGCAGGCAAAGAAGATGTATTAACTTTTTTTTTTAATAACCTATTACTTACCATATTAAATTTGTCTCCAATTTTTTGTCCATTAATTATACAGTTAGAACTTTATTTAATTTTTCATCACGAAATTCTAACAACTTCCACAATTTATCATAACATTGATCTAAACACTTTGCTTTACCCAACGAAATAATAATTTTTAATTGCTTGATCTATTAACCAAACATCTTTTAATAAAAAAAATACTTGATTCACCGTAACAATAACAAGTTAGTCAAACAACTTGAAAAAAGTCTCGCATACTCATGTCAGAGCACCTAATTGCCTGTCGGAAGGAAAGTATAGCTGTGCATCAAACTTCGAAAGTAACTTTGGATTCCTTGGCGTGGGAAAAAGTTGAGCACCGCGTAAAAAAAGTCATTCCATAAAAACTCAATCGTAAAAAAATAAAGCCATGTCCGACGTATTTACATATATATATATGTACACCTCGTTGCAGCAAAATTCCAGCTCGATACGTAATTTCAATAGTCAGTACACCTTTGAACGCGCATACCCAACGACCCTTCAAGACATACCTTTTCGACGATTGAAAATAAGAAGCCATTAGCGGAGAAAACAGTTGCGCACACGGAGGAGCGCGTGGCGAATTTGATTACTGTTTAACGACTTTGAAATTACCCAGGGAACAAGAAGCCACAATAGTTCCACGGCCAACTTTCCGAAACTTGTTCCCAGCCCCCTCTGCACCGTATGATCATCAATCGTTCGATCAAACGGGCGAGTATACGTATCGAAACGTGCCTTTTAAATTAAATTCCCAACTCTTGCAAACGAAACGCCCCGAGGCAGTGGAAACGCAGTCTCGATCGCCTCAATCATTCAATCGGGCCGCATCATACCTGCTCCTTTTGTCCGAGACCGGCAAAGCAGCGTCTATACTCGCGTGCATACATAACAAGCCCGTATCCAATCGTATAGTTGTCTTCGTCGTAGCAGCTGGTGGCTGTACTACTGAAAAATCGATTAGCACCTGCTCGCACAGATGGGTGTTATATAGATCAGTAGGTTACGGCGCTCCCGTTGATATATACGGCGTTCGCCCGCATATGTGCATAACATAGAAAACTCGACGAGGTTGAATGGGGTATATACACACGACGTACGGAGCAAATTCAGCGCTGGTGTGTGAATCTCGAATATCAACTTGACTGTGTATCGTGTTTCGGGACGTGCATGGTACGTGCGAGCCTTACGTGGTGGGCGCATGCGCTACAGGGATGAAAGTCTCTATACAGGCATACCGTCGGGGGTGTGGATTGCGGTATGCCGGTGTGGTCGTTCTAAGTAGCTCGGGGGAGCTAAGCTGAGTAGAAGATAATTTGACGGCGAAGTCGGAGGGATGAGAGAGAGGCTTACGAGAGTTTTGAAGGGGGTGGGGGGGGTCTTGAAGGAGTTTTGAGACTCTCCACGGGCTATTTTAATGCCACGTGAAAGTAGATGGAGGGACCGAGGCTGGGAGAGTTGGTTTTTGTTGTTGGCTGTATCATCTCGGTTTTGCCAAAGTACAGAGGACACAGAGAGGGATCGTCCTTATCTTCAAATTAATCGGGTCGATGTTGCAGCTGCTAAATTTTCAAGAGAAGGTCCGACACTTTGACGTAAAATGCTGTACTGTCGATAAATATTTTGGGGAAGCCGAGTTAAAAATTTAATCCGGAAACTTGGAGAACTAATGAGACGTTTTTACGAATCATCATTATTTCAGAACAACGTCAATCATACCCAAGTTTTTACGATACAAGCTAAGCTCCTTTGCACTTTTCATGCACAAGCTTTCTACAACTTGGGAGACGCAAAAACTTTTCCGATTTACCATTTTACAATATTTTGCATGTACAATAAGTCCGTATTTATAAACAAAGATATTTTATTTATTTGGCTCCTCCAAATCGAATTTCATTCTTTTGAAAAATAAAATCGAGTGGCGTATCTCGTTGCGGATAATGCTTTTTGGTTGCCCAAACGAAACACAATACGGTTGAGTATTTTTTTGACCCATAATTTTGCCTCAAAAACAACGGTGCTTCCCGTCTACCTTTAGAGCAGACGAAAGTATAAATTACCAAATGTCCCGTTAGATAATTGATTAATGCGATTTAATTAAAAAGTCCAAACCCCAAGTCAATCGAGGCAGATAAAATCTTCTTATACCGCAAATTTTTTAAATTAGACTCTACATTCAAAAACTCCAGTAATCACTGGTATGAAGAAAATTTAAAAAACTATTACTTTTCCCCCGTCACAGAGCTACTTGACACCAACTTACTTTTAACTAAATGGTCCTTGCTGAAAAAAAAAAAAAAAAAAAAAAATGTGTTTGAGCAGAGCTGGAGAAGCGGCCGCAGCCGCAGCAGCCTCGGAGCTCTGAGGAGCTGGAGGATTTGCAAAAGCAGCTGCACTTCCCGGAGGAGGTGGCGCTCAGGCTGGCCGAGGTCGAGTACCAGTTGTTTCATCAAGTGCCACCGGACGGCTTCCTCCGCCACGTGGCCAAGGACTTTGCGGCCCAACACCGTAAAAAACAAAAGGACCAGCACCAAGAGCGAGAGGAGCAGCAACAGACGGGCCTCGCCACAAGCTCCACGCAAACGGACGACGAGGACAGCTGGCCGGTCAACGTGCAAACGCTCATCAATCGGTTCACCGAGGTATACACGTCATGCCCCATATATTAATTTTTTCATCAATATTTATTCATTTTTAAGCCACTTCTTCATTTAGTATCTACTTATTGCAATTCCATTCTCCTACAAAATATTTGTACTTATATTTCTAAGTAGAAACAGCCGGTCTGGCTGTATACGTCTTGTGCTGTGTGTGCCCATAGCTTACGGCTATTGTGGATCTTGAGTCTCTACAGCCAATATGATTTCTCTGCATAGGTGAAAACATGGGTGTACAACGTGACTCTGCACGCCTCGACGAGCGAGGAGAAGCAAGCGTTGCTCTCGTGCCTGGTGCGCGTGGCTCAGACCTGCTGGAACATCGGCAACTTTAACTCCGCCATGGAAATCGTTGCTGGTCTCAAGTGAGTATACCTATTAACATTTTTTTTATCACAAATTCCCCGAGAGACACGAACGCATGGTTTTGATAGAATAGAGATCACAAAAAAAAAAAAAAAAGGATTTCAAGGGAAGGAAGGGGTAGATAAGGGTCACGTCTCGTAAAAAGGACACTACTGCCTCTCGGGCGAAACAAGAAACTGTACCCGACAGCCACACTTGGCGCAAAAAAAAGTCGCGAGTCTCCTTGCACTTTTCCCTCCGGCTCTATACCTATCGCTTTTCCTTTTTTCTCTGTTTTTCTTTACTTTTCCCAACTCGGAGAGACGAAAACAACGGAATTACCACTGGTAATTCCCCGAGAAGTCCAGCGCCGTATTAAAGTAATGAAATAAACTCAAGCGCGGTGGTGTAATCCCCCGGAAGATTCTTCAAGCTACTGAAGCTTCTCGCTGCTTACCTTTACGAGGCGGTGCCACTTGGTACTGCCAGTTTCACAGCTCTATTTAGCTGTGACAACAATTTCCTTGGGTTTTTTTTTCCCCCCTCTCGTTTCCAATTACACTGCCAGGTTTGGTCTACCCATACACACGCACCGATTGAGCATCGGCCAACGTAATGATTCGGTGATTAGAGAGTTCTGCAGCTCAGCACAGTCTTGGGTCTCTTGTACGGGAGCGCGTGGAAGCACATACACACTCGAGAAATCGATCGACGGAGAATCCGGCCGCGTTGGGAGTTAATGATCTGTTCCGGCACGCACCGGACGCGTTGCGCGGAGCCAAACTCAAATTACGGTAGGCACACTCGCGTTAATTCAAACGGGAACGGCATTGAGGGCTATCAGATGTGAGCCGTGTATTTTTTTTATCTCGACGAAACGTGGAAGTATGAAGCACGTGGAAGAAAAAGAAAACCTCGTTTTCACCGAATCGTTCCGTAATCACGTAATAGACTCGGTAAAAGGCGAGAACGAGGTTGCTTGGGGAAGAAACGAAGGGAGAAAAATAAAGAGGGCCAGCTCTGGGAGACGAAAAAAAAAAAAAAAAAGTGATAATGAGAGATACAGGGAGGAGTGGAGGGGTGAGAGAACAGGGTAGACGCCTGCGGGAAATTGGAAGCGAAAAACACAACAACGAGGTGCCGGTGGAAAAGAGCCAGGGAGATAATAAAAATCGACACCGAGATTCCGTGCGCGCGAGTGAACACAAGAGGGGGGGGGGGAGAGGCGCGCCAGATGTACGAAAGAGAGAAAAAAGAGGGTGGCTCTGTTAAGCAGCGCACGAGTAAATCGTTACCTCTGTGTATGCGGTAACGATGGACTCGGAGGATGGGGGGGGGAGAAAAGCGCGCGGAAACAACGCAATTTAAAACTCGCCGCGACTGCAGCCCACTTCTTTACCTTTATTTCTCCCCCTCGAGTCATTTCGATGGGGTTTCATCAGCAGCGGTCCCGAGAAAACGAGCGCTTCGCCGCTAAGAAAATTAATTGCATTAAGCTCGCGAAGTAAGAGCAGGAGAGGCAATGGAAGAAAAACGCCTCGCGCGACGTCGCTTCGGGGTCGAGGGCGCCTTTTTCACGGCTTCAAATTGAATTAAACGAGTGTTGAAGCTCTTTTGCCACGCGGATGTGGTTTTCAGCTTCCAATTATGAGGTTTACAGAAATGCCAGTCGGGACTACGTATCTTTGGCCAAATTCATTTGAAAGCCATCCCGGCTAATTGAAATTTTCACTCGATATCGATTTTCAGCGAAAAACACACGCGAACGCGCGATGAATTTTTCCCCTCGTTTCGATCAATGTGTACCGACCGCGCGCAGTATATACCCCCTCGTAGCCACGCGGGAGAGCCACGTCAAATAATCCAAGGGAGACCGAGTGCAAAAATAACCCAGTAGAGCGAGGCAGCGCAACAATACACGTACTCGACTCTCTTCCGTTGTGGGGCTAATAATTTTTTCATATACCTCGCAGAGGGAGACCTCTCTTTTGAAAATTTCAGCCGACAACTCGGGCGCATCAGCTGTGGTAACCAGACTCGAAAGCGATATCTCCCGAACGGAGCAATTATTGTTTTTTTTTTTTTTTTCGCGCGCAGCCACCCGGTCGAGGGATAAATAAACACGGGGAAAAGCCAGTGGGGGTGTGCGTACACGGGCAATACATAATCCGCAAGCCCTCGGCTGAAATCCATCCCCGGGAGCCGTTCCGTTGGATACGCTGCCGTTATTACTTAACGTCAAAGCTCCGATCCTCTCCCCCTCTACGCCCGACCTACCCCTTATTTATTTACTCGCATTTGTTCCCCCGGAGTGGAGAGCATATACAGTAGTGCCGTTGGGAGGATAAAGCCGCCTGATAGATAGACGAGCAGGAGAACGGCAGCTGCACTTGAAACTCACGTGTACACGTGTACCCGTGCATGTGTGTCGATACATTCACCCATTGAAAACTCGAAGCTTAAGTTTAACACGTACGCGGCTAGGGGGGGTGTTTTAATCATTTGAGACGAAAAACTCGACTGTCCATATGCGTAGGAGAATGAACTTTTCTGCTCTGTATATTTGTACGTACGAGTTTGCTCGGTATTTTTATACTTTCACAACAGCCATGATAGCTCAATCATCATCGGCTAACGAAAATATGACTCATTACGTCTCACGCGTGTACGTATATATGCAACAGTCATCTCGAATGAAAAGAAAGAAATTAATTCCTCGATATGCCTATACAATACGTCTCATTACTCGTTCATACAGGCAAATGGTATGTATTCGTGGAGCATCGCTTTTTCCTCCCCCCACCCTCTTGTGCGTCATGTAATCTTTCTCTTGGCTTTCACTCTCGACACGTGCATCCATTTGTCTACGTCCCACGCCCTTTCCGCCTACTCGCCCTCCTGCTTACCTACTGCTCCACTTATACGCCACACAGCCACGGGAGTTTGGCGTATATGTGTATATACGTGTACCCGACCACTCTGGAATTTCGTCGAGGGGCTCGTGTTGTTTCCGACCCAACTTTCCCCACCACCGGCGCACGTCACGCGGCGAGCAGAGATGCGAAAAGCACCCTACGGCCATGCGATTATGTACATCACGAGCTCCGCGTACACCTTTGTGTGTATAACATGTACGTTTATTCCTTTTTTTTTTTCTTTTTCAATGGTACACTGTTTTTTTTTTTGGAGGGATGAATGTATGATTTCCTTTTTTTGTTTTCGTTTTTTTTTTTCCACCGGTCCATCGAGGTCGAGCGGGAAAATACGAGCAACCTCGCCTGGGTCAGGTATCACGTATAGCTTTCATTATTAACGTATTAAGGAGCGCTTTTTGCGGGTGCCATGAGAACCCGATAAAAGAGAGATAAGTCGGTGATTATTTTTATGAATACGGAGGAAACACGGGAGCCATGAATTTCTCATCACGCGTTGCCTTTTCACGCTGTACATGAGAAAGCAGTTTTTAATTAAATACATACGTTACGACCAGGTGTAAGTCTCGTTTTTTTTTTTTTCTCTCCAACAGCTTTTAGATCGCACTAAATGTCGATAGATGTTTCAGATCATCTTTCAAACGTAAGTCATGCAGTTCTTGTTTTGATAAATATGCTGATTGTAATTTAAAAAAAATAAAATAAATACGCAGGGCGCGTGTAATGTTTCTTTCATATAAAATCGATTAAAAATAAAACTACTCGTTAAATGGAGCAAAAATACATCTTTGAATACAGTTTATCGATTATTGGGAAGAAATAATTCTTTAGCTAAATTTTTTCGTCCTACGTAGAGTGGCGTGATGTCTACCAGCAGATAAATGTCCACCACCGAATCGAGTTTCGCAAGGGCCCTAAATCAAACAACTTCTCGCACGGGGGGGGGGGGGGCATGGAAAATTTGTGACCCCATTCTTTTAAGTACTATTCAAATAGAAATAACACACATATCGCCCAAAACGGGGTGCTCGATCATCGCGAGCAAAATATTTTCGTCGACACAATGTTTTCCCCGGAAAGTCATCCATTTTTTGTCCCCCCCCTCGGATTATATTGCATCTGCTCTACAGATCACGTGATCGTACGAGGGCATCTCTCTGCTCCTGTTTGTCCTTTAAAAAGAGATGAAGCAAAAATAATTACTAAAGGTACGTGGTCGTATTTTTTACGAGGCCTCCTATAAATTCTGCTCTCCACCACCAGACCCCCATTGAATTTCGCTTAGGTTTTTTTCTCTCCAGCTTTCGATCCATTGTTTCGCTAAAAATAAAAAAAAAGTATTGGAGCTGATTGAAAAAAAAAAAAAAAAAAAAAAAAGTCATTTTGATGAAAAGTACGCCAATGCAGGGTACGAAGATGGAAGTACGAGTGTGGCAGACTTGACCCCATTTGAAAAGTTAAAAATAATAGCGCAAGCCTACAGTTGACAAAAAATTATTGTATTAAATGTCACCTGTTCTCTTGACGACTGAATCCTGATGAAACGTTATTTAATTAAATAAAAAAATTGTTTAATTTACGCTTGTTTGCACGATTGTATTATTGTTACAGCGGTTTTGACACGCAGAGCCACGGTCTGAAGCCGCACTGGCACTCGATATGTGATAAGGTACCGGTACTCGATTGGCTCTCTTCCGCACTTGTGTCTTCCGAATATGAGATCGCCCTGGAGCGCGCCCTGGCGATGCCCGAGTGCCCGGTGGTGCCCTTCTTTGGAGTCTTCTTGCGCGAGCTTCGGGAGATCTACAGTAACACCTCGAAGGTACGTTTTTCATTGCTATTTCTCTTACCCGTTCAATATTTTTTCTTCAAACGAACCATACGTATATTGTAGTTGCCTTTTAACGTATCATACAACTGTGATAAATGAGGTGATTTTTAAATTAATTAGTAATTTCTAACAACATGTAATACCTTTCATGATGTCGACAATGTAAGCATCATTTGCAATTGATGCACTATAGCAATAAGAGCTTCAAAGCAAAAAATAAAAAAAAGAAAAGAAAAGAAAAGCACCAAGGTTGTACATTCCGACAGACAGAGTCGAGTGTTTAATTACTAAGAATATCGATACGACGAGATGGATTAAAGGCAATAGAGCGCGTCGAGCGGTGCTTAAGCTTGACTACGCGAAAAAGCAAAGCCGATCGAAGAGAGCACTTAGCCTCGCGAAATTCCCGAGTCGAGAGGAGCAAATGAGATGTCGACGAAACTAACGAGAATTCGCGCACGGCGTTGTACAGACAAAGAGAGACTGTATCTTATTCATCGCCGATAAATGGCCCTCGGATGATACCGATGTTATCCTCCTTCACTTTGCGTTGTTTTGTTCAGACGTGACAGCGATGATAAAGAAAAATGTTAATATTTTCGGACATTTTTTGCCGAGGGGAGTCGAAAGAGAAGCTGCCCCTTGGATGGACGAAATAATGGTGGCTTGAATGCGATCAAAGAAAGAAAGAAAGAAAATAAGCTCGACAGTAAGGGAAAATCGCCGTCGATAAATTGACACAAGGCTCCTTAACAATCTTTTACAGCTATTTATTTTTAAGATCCATTCCCATTATCCACTTTTACTTTGAAAGTTTTTTTCATCCCGATTTTCGTGACCGCTACGCAACTTAATACTCTTTCAATCGGAATTCCTCAAAAATCTGACATCTTTATGTCAACTTATTGACAGCTATTTTATCCAAGCGTTGAAATGCTTCAAATACGCCTAACGATGTAATAACAAACTGAACTCAACCCCTGAGAAGGCATGGTAATGCAGTTCCGTCGATGATTGTTGAAATGTTATTTACAATCATCATCGAGCCAACCCTCTCCGGTTTTGCACGTACGCAGAGAGGAAGGGAAAAAAAAATTACTTTTTAAAACCAAAAAATCCCCTTGAAATCTCAAACTGTCCAAGTCCCGTTCAGAATCCTTGTACTGCTGGTGGGGGGCAAAGCAGTCATACGCCAATCTCCTTTCTTGTCAAAGACCGCGAAGAAAAAAAAAAAAAAAAAATCCAAGGAGTACCGTGGAAAAAGGATCTCGAGCACCGGCAGGGCAGCGATGAAAGACGAGGTACACACGGTGAACTGAAATAAAAGAACAGAGCCGGTTCTATAGGGGTGTACAACATGAAAAAAGGAGAAAGAAAAAAAAAGATAAAAGGTATGAGTGGTTAAGGAAAGACGAGCGAACAGCGCGAGAAGGACGGGATTTCGATTCGACGACTCGCGAGGGCACTCACGAGTTACTACAGGTAAAAGGGGGGGTGGGGGGCACCTAGCCATTCGAACCGTATCAACGGCTCTTTTTTTGGCCTAGGAGGGAGAGGTCATTCATGGAGAAAGCAAATGAATCGCAAGTCTGGCAAGCAACCAAGAATCAAGTACTCCCTGGCTCCTGATGCATTCGACCGATGCGACGCGCTTGCTCTTATGGAAAATTTATTTTCATCCTCCACTTTTTTCTCACCTCCTTGGAAGAATCCACGTGCGCGAAGCTCTAGTCCTGTTACTTTTTGACTGTAGTCACGAGTGCACATGGACGGCATAATGGGGGGAGCGTGTTTATGGCTGCTCGTCTTTACGGCTGACCAAACGCTGACTGTTTCTACTTGGACGTACGGGTAAGCTCGGATGTCCGAGTAGTGGGACGACGTTTTCCGATTTAGTCATGTCAAATGGAAATTCGGTTGTTGTACTTAACGTGTTTTTATACGCTTAAAGTAGTGGGCGTGTCTCTAAAGAAAGGAATGCTCTCGAGATTGTTGAAAAATTGTGCAGTTTTGGACGAAGGGGACGTGTTCACGTTGCACGCGCAGTTGTTGTTTTTTAATTTTTGTTATAATCTCTTGATTAAAAAAAATCATACAAACGCGTTAAATACTGTTTGGTTAAATTAAGAAACTAATTACTTTTAAAAAGAAAATATAAATTTACAAGTGCTACAACTCGCATCCAATGAGATGAGGTTCTACCGGTACAAAGGGACGTATACATAATCGAGCCAAGTAAAGAAAAGTTTGTATTTCCGTGGAAGAAAGAAAGTGAGCATCCGGTCTCGCGAAAGTGATTTTATTCGTATTGATTACTCCCGTCATATCTAATGGAGCGAAAAAGAGAAAAGTTCTAATGCTGCCGGCGAAAAAAATGTTCCTCCCCTTTCAAACTGCTGAGCTACCGCGAGATAGCGAAATCTTAGAGGCGAGTAATTCCCCGGCCCCTTTAAGTATCGCGTGAAGAATCAGAAAGGGCAGGGGAAGAAAAAAGAAGTTGGGGTACCAATGAAAAAAGCTTCTACGGCTGAACGTATCGCCTTACTCCTATACTCTATCCTGCATCCTCTTGTATTAGTCGGCTGGTGGAGCTTATCTTTCTCTGCTTCTTATCCTCGCATCTACTCGAACTTTTTTTTTTTTTTCTTCTTCTTCTTCGTATTACATTACGGAAGGCGGAAGAGTGTGCTCAGCAGTGGCTCGATGTATTAATTTCATCTGTTACATGGAAAAGCTTTTTAATTACTTTTTTCGCGAGCGCCTCGCTGTACGATGATTATGTTACTTAATTTCTAATGTAAGTAAATGACTATTTCTATTGTAAGAATAATAAGATACTGTATATCTTTGAAGAGAAATCGATGTCATTTCCATTCAAGTTATTACTTGAAAAAAAAAAATAATAATAATAATAATTGTATTCGTAGTAACGAGAAAAAAAGACACGATGCGTATGGGATAAAAGTTACAGCAAAACCTCGCCTTTCACAAACAAGGTCGTAACGAGAAGGAGAGACAAACAGTAGGATGAAAGGTAAAGAGGAACTAATAAACGAAGGAGCAAGAAGGTACCACGGCAGCAAGGCTAGGGGTTTCTATCGGCCTCCAGCAGCTAAGACGGTTGTAGGCCGGCGGAAACTTTTCGGTCTTGTCGTCGACGATCAACGGCCACAGCCACCAACTTTGCCGTCACTCGGGTTTTGCTTCGACCTGTTTTTTTTTTTTTTTTTTTTATCGTCTCTTGTTCCCCGAGAGCTACGATACACGCAACTACACGACGCCGCCATGGCTTTCCCCAAGAAACTGGGGCTCTGTTTCTCACCCCCCACTTGTCTACATGTATCATTTTTATCCCCACACACGTAGCTGATGTGGATTGTTGCTAACGCTCACACTTCCAAAGTGGACGGAGGAAAATGTGATGATCGTAAGCCCCGTGTGTTTACGAGGTTTCCTAATTTGTACGAATGTTACGCGACGACGTGCCAGATGCTTGTGTAGCTCGATTCGAGAAATTTATTGTACGCGACGAAAAAAAAAAAAAAAAAAAAAAAATCTTGTCAGCCGTAAGGATGACAATCGATTGATCATCGAAATGTCAGCACAGATGTGTAATATTGTACCTCCAACAAGCTGGGGGATTTTTTTAAACTTCAACCCTCCAAACTGTCACATCGACAGCCTCACGGTGTCAGTGACAAATGAAATTAAAAAAAAAAAAAAAAAAAGTAGAAGAAGAAAAAGTTTGTCCAACGGTATGATAGTTGTGTATTTTTCTTGTGTCCATTGTCACCCAGCAAGCCCAGGAGTGCAGAGAGAAAGAGACTTTGCGCGCTAGCAGTAGGGAGGGCGAGACGACCGCCCTCGATAACGTGCCTTTACCCTCGCCCGGTGCGAGACTCGACGTCGACCAGGTAGCCTGCGACTCGTCCCACTCTCCATCCACCACCTCCCACCGCACCCCCCAGCAGCTGCAGCCCCAGGATGCGGAGCATCTCGCCCAGCAGCCACCGCAACCCCGGCGCCGGGTGCTCGAGCGGGGCGAGAGCCGCTCGGAGCAGCCCTCGCCCGGCAGACGCAAGCTCTCCGAGAACGACCTGTGTGCGGCGACGGCCACCGTCATCGATAAGGTGAGTGCCGCGCTCTTTCATGGGAAAAAAAAAAAAAAAAAACAAATTCAAAATAACGTTTGTTCAGGTGATGGTGTTCCATCAGCACCACCACGCCCGGGGCAGGGACGCGACGACGGGCTCGCTCCACCGCACGTTGAGCGTGCACACGACGACCTTGGAGTCGGCGTACATGGCCGAGGAGTGCGACGAGAACGATTATCATCTGGACCTCGACTCGTACCGGCCCATACAGCCCCTCAAGCACGACCACGGGGTTTCGCTCTTTCCCGTCGCCGCGCCCCACAATGGCATGGACCTGCACCTCCTTCAGGTAAGTACCTACGCCCTCGTATGAGTTTGTCCGAGGAGACTAATGCAGTGTTATTGTAGTACAAAGGTGTGCAATTTTACGCTTTATTAAGCATCCCTACGCGTCAATAAAAAATATACAATGCATTGAAAATAGATGAAAGTATAATATGCCAGTACGCGTGCTTGCTTGAGAATAATTTTTTCGACTTTGCTTCGACGGTCTTCTTCATTTGTAAACGAATCAAGTATCGAGGTATTGTTAGAAATAACACAGTTTAATTATGAGCGGAAAAAAAATGTTTTTCATACAGTTCATCTTTCAAGCGAAAAATTGAGAATTTCATGGTTTTTAAAGCAATCCTTGGTATGCAGGAATTCGGTAGCTTTATCGTAGGTTCATACGGTGCTTGCCAAGACGACGCGTACACTTTGAGCTAAAAATAACGTCTCAGAAGGTTTACTTCATAAAATTTTGTTACGAAATGTAAAAATTTTTTAGCTTCCCTTATGTACGCACGTAGCCACGTCACTACACATTTTCGACCATATGGTGTACCATCCACGTAATATTTTCCCTTTGTATACCTACTTCGTGGGCGTTTTGACGTGCTGCAAACATTAGATCGTACATTTGCGCTGATGTCGTTATTTCTATTATTTTCTAATAAAGAACTATTTTCTTTTAGTATATAGCTATAATTATAAATAACAATAGTAACAATAATAATAATAATAATAATAATAATAATAATAATAATAATAATAATAATGGATAGACGATACACTATAGATCATCGTTAAATAAACTCAAAGTTCTTTTTCTGGTTACGATTGCTCAACATTTAAAGTTTCAGAATGGCAATGCGCAAACAAAGTTTATACGCTCTGAGGAGCTTTCATTCTTTCTTTCTTTTTTTTTTTATTAATTTTTCCCTCCGACTTGAGGAAATGATAAATTAAAAAAGTTGATGCAACTAAACTAGTCTCGAGCTGAGATGCGTACAAATTGAGCTAAGAATTCCAATGCCCCTTTTCCTGCTTTCTTCTCCCCGCTCGGCTGAACGAGGATTCAACTAACTCAGGAGGAAAAATAACGACGTACGCTTTTTGTACCTACTTATTATTTCCGTGAGGGCACATTATTAATGACTGGTATTTAAATCCAGCGAGTGGCTTTTACGAACTAAAAGTTGTAATTTCGGCGCTGCTTGAAAATTGATTACACGATTCTTTTTTTTTTTTTTTTTTTTTTTTTTTTCCATAGCCGTTCAACGCCGATAAGTTTTCACCATCCTTTGTTTTTTCACCCCCACATTTTTCATTTCCGTTTTTACCAGCCGTTAAAGATGATTTACGTTTTATTGTCTTTTCAAAGAGCTGCAACAAGAGAGAAAAATGATGGTTCCCGGGCTATACCCCCGCGACTCGTTGGAAAAATTAATAAAAGTCTGTTTGCACATAACAAAACAAAAAAATTCTCTCTATATATTTGTCCTTTTAGATTTTTTTTTCTGAAAACCCCAACCTTTTCCGTGTGCAATTTATCACGAGCGACTCGACCATCAGCGGTAAACTCGATTAATTTAATATTCATAGAATTTACGAGCCGCGCAGGTCTCGCGCGACATTTTCATCCCAAGCGGCGTTTGCAGTCGGGCATTAAGCAGTAAATAGCCACTCGACTCGTCCAGGCGATGAAATTCACTCGAAGACGCGACCACGACAATAGGGTTATTGGGCATAAAAATTTTAAACGCGCGATTTTCGACTCCCTTTATTCAGCCTAGCAGGTCGTTAAATTGCTCGGCTCCCACTGATAAATCAAACACCCAGCTCGACGGGATGAAACGATTGGGGTTTGCTTCCTTTTTTTGAATGTATTACACAGCCACCACAAGATCGGCACAAAGTTTTTTTTTTTTTTTTTTTTTGGCCCGTACAGAATTAACGCTCGATTGCTCGCTCGGTTTTTTTAATTGCTCGCGTGCTCTTCTGCGCGTTTTTTCTCCTCCGGCCGTTCAATTCGCCCAAGTTGTTAATAGCGCGAGAAAAAAAATGGCCAGCGTCGCGGTAAGCGCGCACGACAAACGATAATACGATTGCTCGGCTGAATTTTCATAATTTCACGGTTAAGGGGAAGTTACTGCTCATTATACATGCATATTATATGCAACGCTCGTTAACGCATCAAGCTATTAGTCATTTGCACGATAATATCATACGTGCACCTTGGTTATTCTTTTTACTCGTAACGTTCTGTTTTACAAATAGGAAACCGTTGTTCACCGCCGGTATGTTTATTTATTTTACCGTGCTCTGAAAAAGTTTCAGCGATAAATTACCGAAATGCAGAGCAGAAAATTAAAAAACAAAAAAATCGATCGTTACTGCAGTAAAACGTAGGAAAAAAAATGGAAACACTAATATTTCGAAGCTGATGTATAAGATAATCACGAGCTCCTTGAACAAATACAGTTTGTCATAGTTTATCGTTGAGTCAATTATCGTACAAGTCGGTATCATATCAGTTTAACGTAATATTTAAGCGATGTTTACCCAAGTATAGATTTTTTTTTTTTTTTTTTTTTGGGTCACTATCCCTATAATCATGCCTAACGAGCCATCGATTCCCAACCCATACACGCACTTGCATTAGCCTCGCGGCAAATTTCCTTAATGTAAACAGTATCGGTAACGTAATCCAACTGACCAGCTGCTCCACCACGGCACGACGCTCGTCCACTGGGAGTACGAGGGCACGAGTTCCCGCACAGCCCTGGTGTACGCGCGCGTCGACCGCGCCTGCGGGGCCTTCCTGTGGGAGAAGCCCAGCTGGAGTCCCTTGAAGACGAGCGCGGGCCTAACCCCGGGCGTCTCCTCCTCGTCGGCGGCCGCCGAGTTCTGCCTGTCCATAAACCAAGAGGAGGTGGTCACGAGCAGCCTTATGAACCGGTACTCGGCCCAAGCGGCAGACTGCGCTTCCATAAGCCTCGAGGAGGGCTACCTCGACCTGTCGTGCGTCAAGGAGGTCATGATCGGCTGCTGCGACAGGGAGCGCGACCAAGAGCTCAGGGCGATCTGCAAGCGGTACGGCCTGCCCGGCTCGGACTCGTGCATCGGCCTCATGTACGGCGCCGGCCTCTCCGACAACCGGCTCATCTTCCTCCTGTGTCCCCCCGCCCTCAGCAAGTAAGTGCCTATCCTTTGAACAACAACTAGTTCGGCCCTCACGATACTCAATCCATCGAGTCCTCCCAGGATCTGGTACATGGGGCTGTGTTGGGTGCTGCGGGGCCTCAAGCGCCAACAGCAGCTGACGGACCGGCGCTCGCGTTGGCTCAAGGAGAAGTACCTGCAGCTGTACTTCGAGGAGGGCTGCAACGAGCCAACCACGGCGGACGCGATACGGGTGTTTGGGGGCAGGGACTGGTCGATGACGGAGAACGTCGGCACCCTGTCGCCCACCAGCAGCAACGTGACGCGCAAACGCAACGCCAAGAGCAAAAAGACCAAGTCCATCGGCAACATACACGCTCTTACCAAGGTAAACGCCAGGGTGTGTACATACAGTTTTTACACGTAGAGATCTTTTTTTTTCCTTTGTTTTGCTTCGATGGTTCTGGTTGACTGGCTGTAGCCCAGCTTCTTCGAATGCACGAATGGTGCCACCATGTTTGTCAACTCTTATACATACGTCTGACCTCTTCCGACTCTATCTACTAGCTCCTATACTTCTGCGTGTCTTCGGTTTAGGACGACGCTACCCCCTTTGTTTTTTTTTTTTTTTACTTGAATCTAGATTGTGCCTCGACTACGAGTTGTTGTTTTTTCCTCCTATACCAACGGTATACCTTTGAATTTCAAACTACTTTCTGCTCTCTGTGTATGCACAATATCATATATGAAGTAGCACCGTGCGTCGCGACTCTTTGTTTCCGCTCCGTGAAATTGTCGATTTGGGCAAACAAGAGGATTCCAAGGAAAACTCGAGATCCCGACCGATGCGATTCCCACGAGGTTCGTCGAGTGCTGTTGCCATTGCACGATTGTTTGCCTGCCTGTCGCCCCGTTGGCTTCCAAGCCGAACAAGCGCTCAGGGTTGTTGTTGTGCCTACTAGCCTGCAAATGCACGATCTACAGGCTGCTACTTACGCAATGCTTGATACACCGTTGTCGGATGGATTAAAGTATACGGAAAGTACACGGACGCGGATTAGTCGAGCGCTGCATGGTGCACCTGTTGCATGTATGTTTATGTATGTGCTCTCTTCTACGATTGTATGTTCAATTCATCGCTAAATGCAAGAATAACGTTATAGACTTTGCGAAGGACGGAACGAGCACTCGTTGGTTACATTTTGTCACGAAAAACTTTAGTTTGGAGCCCTCGATAGTTGACGTAACTTCGTTACAAAGATATAGTTGTTTTTTACGCATATTGCGAAATACGGGTAAGTTTTTTAAAGCCTTTGTCGTTCATTGTCAAAATTCGCATTTGTCACCTTCAAAATTTACATTTGTTGCTCGACTTATTTCAAAAATAATTCTTTTTTTTCCCTAAGTAAAAAATGTTTGTACTCCAGGAGGTAAGTGGGGGGTAAAACAAATCCCAAGACTTTGCCTCGATAAAAAATATTACTTTCAACTCCGAGGGGACTCCCAATTGGAGGTTTTTGTGCGAAATCGTTCACAACCATTTAGTCTCGCAATGCTTGGTAGAAAGAAAAAGATATACTCGTAGGAACGCACGACAAAAGTTTGGGCAAAGAAGGGGCTATTTCGGAAAACATCCATTCCTCGGTAGACAAACGCCCGCTTTGGACAATCAAGCCGAAAACTTTTCGAAATCTTATTTACACCGAGAGCAATTCCGAGATAGCGTCTTCCTTGGAAATAACGCGAAACACAACTAGGAAGGAAGACAGACAGGAGAGAGAGAGAGGGGCCTAAAGTTTTGTTCCCGTGTTTTTTTTTCCTTATCCCGCTGTCGCTCGCCCTCCACCACCACTGCCACTAATGCCCCGCAATGTGACCGCAATCTTGTGTGTAACCGTGACTGTGACCCCGTGAACGAACGCAACGCACGGCGCAACGGCCCCATCAAGATCAAGCAGGCGCGCTCGGTGCTCGGGCGGGCCCTCCGAGCGAGCTCGGTCTATCGCGCTGTCGTATCAAACCGTACTGTCCACCTGTCGCAGGACCTGAGCTTCAAGCAGTACGACCCCAGCTGCTCGTCCACCGAAGCCGGACTGTCTCACGTGGGCGCCGGGGCCCTCAGGCACGGCAGCCGGGAATCCCTCACCAAGTGCATCATGCCCGCCTCGCCGAGGTCGGGCCGCGGGGTCGAGCGCGCCCCGCCCGCCCGCAGCCCACCCGCCGGCTCCACGGCTGAGCGCGTCGCCAACCTACCCTACGCCAGTCTACAGAGGTAAGGCTCTCCCATACCCAAAACACCCCCTTTCTCTCGTTGGGACGATTTCTTTCACGTCACGTCCCCCCGAGAGAAAAGAAATCGGCACACCTCGAATAGTAACCGAACGAATCGCTTCGGGGGGTGTGCTAGCCTGCTGTGCGTCACCCGGGACAAGGAGAAGAACGGCTCGAGCCCGGGGGGCACGGGTGGCGGGCTGTTGTGCCAAAGTGGGGGCATCGAGGCGCCCTGGCAGGTCAAGACCGGGGCGAGCTCCATCATGTACGAGACCCAGCTGAACTTTGTCGAGTTCGTCGCGCTGTTCCGGTCGTTCAGCCTCAGGGCGAGGAAGGACCTGAGGGACCTCTTTGGACAGCTGGCCATCACCTGCAGGAGCCAAAGCGACGGATCCCTCCAGGACTTTAGCATCAGACCCTCGGTCCTGAGGCAGACGAGCGACGCCACCCCACAGCGGATCGGTACGTTTTTCTTTTCTTTTTGTTGTTGTTTTTTTTTATACCATCGTGTATACTTATTGTATTTTATCGCTCGAACTGGTAGGGCTGCTGACGCGCAACAACTCCATCGACTGCCACGAGTACAAGAGCGGTAGCAACATGCGCAAGAAGCAGATCTTCGACGCCATCGCCTCGGCGAGCATAGTGAACAATTGCTCGGGTGTTGACACGTCAAAGTCCCAAGTCATCACCCTCGCGACTTTTACAAAATTCCTCGAGTCCCGGCAGCAGGAGAAACTCGCCGACGAGCAGATCAAGGCGCTCATCAAGGTTGGTACCATCAGCGTCATCTCGAGCTCCATTCGTATGGTTTAACGTGTTATGAATGTACGGCATCGTGTACATTGGCCAATTTAGGGAAGCTTGGAACATTTTTTCAATTAATCGGTGAGAGGGTTCTAAGTAACTTGTTAAAATCATCGACAAGGGGTATCGATTGCCCTCGTATTTTCTTTGGCAAAGTCCTATATTCCGGACGTGTTTTTCTTCCATTATCTACCGGTCAATCGAGACGGTCTAGATTTTATTACTATAATAATAGAGGATGATTCTTACTTTTTTTTTTTATATTGCAAAATAATTTTCTAACTAATATTCCATATGATTGATCTTAAATTCATGTTAGTTTATCCAAATTTAAGGGTTGATACGTACATATGTGGCATTTCAAGGGAGATTTATTACGATAATTATTGATAACCAATCACAATGCATAACAATACTTATCGGTGCTTCGTAAAAAACCACACGATCAAGCACAACGATAAAAATATTAATTCAAACACCAAAAACTGAATTTACAACGCTTGCTAAAGAGTTGTGTCTTATTTTTTCCGAAAACACGAGAATCAAAGGGCAATAAATTAAGTATTCAAACGATTCGGAAAAAAAAAAAAAAAAAAAAAAAAACAACATCCTGCGTTCCAACAGAGACACGAGCCGGATCCAGCTCTGCGTACCCAGTGGTGCTTGTCGTTCGAGGGCTTTGCCCGTTACATGATGGACAAGGACAATTACGCCTTCCCGAACGAGTACGCGCTGCCCGACGAGACCGAGATGGAGCAGCCCATGTCCCAGTACTACATAGCCAGCTCGCACAACACCTATCTGACCGGCCACCAGCTCAAAGGCGAGTCGTCCGTGCAGCTTTACTCGCAGGTACGACATCTATACAATATATATATACCTATACGTATAACGTACACGTGCAGTCCATCGAGGTCCTTTGGTCCAACTTTGGTAATTCACGCTCTCTCGCGCGATATACCCACCGCTATTATGGCACTATACACAGGCCCTCGAGGCTGCATACGGGATGTATAATATATACACACACAAACACATACTGTGGCTGCTATATGGCGCTTCCGGTACACACTACTACGAGAGGGTCTCTTCCGTCTCCTCTGGCTGCTTTATCGCGTCATGCTCGACTCTCTCACTCTCTGCATGTGCGTCAATCTCATGGAGCGACAGTAGCAGCATCAGCGTTGCGTCAGCCCGTGGCAGTGAGTAGAGGGTAAACGAGACGGGGGACTCTGTGTTGCGGGTGTTCATGTACATATTGATCTTGGAAAAACTTGGGCTTTGTCGTGTAGAGCAGCTGATTTCGCGGCCTACGGCTTACACCTACACAGGGGACACCTACTTTGTACGTATATATATGTGGTCCTGAGAGAGTTTGGGGGAACTTGCACTTGCGCTGTTACCACAAGTTGTACTTAGGTCACGTGAAACATAAGGGGGAAAAAGTACTTTTTAAACAAAACAATTCACTGGATGATTGGTTGGAAATTAAAATGTACACTTTGCGGTTCACTTGAGGTCCTGCTGACTGGCTGCCGGTGCGTGGAATTGGACTGTTGGGACGGCGACGACGGTTTACCCCTGATCTACCACGGCCACACTTTCACCACGAAAATCCCGTTTCGGTCCGTCGTCGAGGCGATAGACAGGAGCGCCTTCGTTAGCTCGCCCTACCCCGTCATCCTTTCGATCGAGAACCACTGCTCGCAAACCCAACAGGCCCGAATGGCTCACATCTTCCAGGTAAAACACCCCTTTTGTTGTAATTCTATTATTTCTTAAAAAATCACATGTTGACCATGACTACGTTGTTAAAACATTTTATGAAAATTATTCTTTTATCATTGTGAGTATCGATTTTATTTTCGTCGTTTCTGTTGGTTCTGGTAAACTGAAATCTTTACAAGACATATTTTCAGAANGATAGCCTGTAGATAATTAACGTTAATTAAATTAGTTTGTTAGACTATATTTTGTAAAATCTGTTTGTAAAATTTACACTTTTGTTTTATTATAATAAAAATACGAATGTTGTAATGTTTAAAAAAAATGTCTTACAAAAAATTTGATCCTGAAATCTTCGTTTCTGGGGGCAAAAGTTTAAGCTCTTGTCTACCGAAGCGTTTGATAGAAGCGAACACAGTGCCAAATGTAAGACATTGTTTGACATACGCTACACATTTGGACGAAAATTTCGACACTATTTTTAATTACCTTGATTTTTTTTACGCTCTCTAAAAAAAAGTTGGTAAATAAATGAAAACACTTATTTTTGTATTTTTTCACTTTTAAACAAATGTCCCAGTCGGTGTTTGGCGAGAAGCTGGTGACAAAGTTCCTGTTCGACACCGACTACGAGACCGAGGCCCAGCTACCCTCGCCATCGTCCTTGCGCTACCGCATACTCATAAAAAACAAAAAACTGGTGGTCGACCCAACGGGTCCCCTGGCCTCGTCAGCGCCCGCCCACCGGGGCAAGATCCTTATGTCCGACCGGGCTTCGTCCATGAAGCAATTTCGCGCCGAGCCCAACGTCACCCTCGGCGACGACTACAGCGAGGACGACGACGATGACGAGGACTTTTACGAGGACGACAACGCCGATGGTGAGGCTTTGTTTATCGATGAATGACTCGAGATATATATATATTTATATTATATCCCCACCATTTTACCGGGATTAAACGGGAAACCGAACGAGGGCCGTTTAGATAATATCACCCACTGTGCCGAGGTGCCTTTTGGCGCGTACGCGCATCCCCTTTACGAACTGGTTCATCCCGATAGCTCGAGATGCCCGATAAGCCCCGTCGTAAGAGCGTTTTACGGTCACGGTGGTACCCCCTCAGTGCACGCTCCCGCGTTTCAATCAATAGCTGAAGTAAAAAAAGAGCATGTACACCCTATACCTCTATATACGCATATCAATAAGGCTCGTATCGATTAACCGACAACGTGGCATATCCAACAGCGATATTCTCGCGCTTTCTAGAAAACTCGATAACGAGCAGCGAGCCCTACCAGGGCGGTCCCTCGGTGCACGGTAACCGCCTGCGAAGCGATCCCACGGTCGACGACAAGACCCTCAAGCAGAGCAGCCAAATCGCCAAGGAGCTCTCGGACCTCGTGGTCTACCTCCAGGCCATCAAGTTCCGGGGGTTGAACACCGCGCCCGGGCCGTCAGCGAAGCCCCGCCACCAGCAGCACACGGCCCAAGTCCAGCGGCACAGTATCGCGGGTATAGGCACCGGTGGGGGCACGGGTGGCGCCGTCACCTCCTCGACCGGCTCGCCCCAGAGCTTGTCGACCTCGACCTCGGTGGCCAGTGGCAGCAGCGCCATCGAGAACCCCTTCAAGTAAGCCTTTACATATATATATATTCCAAAGATTCATATATACGCGTGTATCACACTTTATAACTCCGTTGTATGTGTGCGCGCAACAGATCGCAGCAGCACAACACGAGGCCGATGCCAGCCTGTTTCCAGACCTCGTCGTTGAACGAGAGCTCGGCCAAGAAGACCTGTCGCAAGCAGCCCCTCAACGTCCTGGCCCACGCGGAGACGCAGCTCATAAGGACCTACCCGGCCGGGATGCGCATCGACTCGTCCAACTTCAATCCGGTGATATTCTGGGCCTTTGGCATACAAATGGTCGCCCTTAATTACCAGACGGACGACGCGGCACTCCACTTGAACGCAGCCATGTTCGAGCAGAACGGCCAGTGCGGCTACGTGCGCAAACCCTCCGTCATGTGGGACAAGAGTCACATGATGTACAGGTGAGACAATTTCCTCTTCCTCTCGTACACGTAGAGTGTTAATGTCTACTGTCCGAACCCAACGGGCCATGTATACGTGCATACGTCAATCGGTGTGGGGGTGAGTTTGTATAGGGCACAGCTGTCACCGGTGCTACTGAATAGTGTAACGCTTTCATCGACGCCTGACCTCTTGCGCGATTATGCGCTGTAAACTATTCATGTGGGAACTATATCGGGTGCGAGAAGGAAATACCTCTTTCGCTGATCTATAACTGGCAAACTTACGTCAATCGTGAATCAATGTTATTACAACTCGCGACATCTGAACGAAACGAATCAATATTCAATTGAGCTATTTTTTTTTTTTTTTTTTTTTTTTTTTTTTATTACAAAATTAGACCCATCACTCGATAAACAATTTAAACTTTGACTCGGAGCAAGGAATATTAAAGAGTTGTAGGTGATATTTATACATACAAGTCCAACATAATATACGCGCACTAAAGTGGTCCACACCATTGTCCCACAGGCGTTTCAACCCGTGGGACAAGGAGTTTGACGGACTGCACTCGGCCCACCTGACCCTGTCCGTCGTCTCGGGCCAGTACGTGTCACCGTCTAACCTCCTGAGCAGCACGTACGTCGAGGTCGAGCTGGTCGGCATACCCATCGACTGCGCCAAGCACAAGACCAAGAGCATCCAGGCCAACTCGCTGAATCCCATCTGGAACGAGAAATTCTGCTTCCAAGTGATGTTCAAGGACCTCGCGTTCCTCCGCTTCGGCATCATGGACGCGAGCTCCCACCACCCCATAGCCCAGCGCGTCCTGCCCCTAAAGAGCCTGCGACCCGGCTACCGACACGTCCGGCTTCGTTCCATGAAAAACCGGCCCCTCGCCCTCTCGACCCTCTTCGTCTACTCGCGCATGGAGGAGGAGAGCCTCGACTACGACAGCACCTGCTGCAACCGCAACCACAACCGCGAGGCCGCGTCCGCCACCTCGTCCTCGAAGCGGCTCTCCTCCAGCCGCGAGCTCGACAAACTCGCGAGCGTCGAGCACGCGGGCCACCTGGGTGGCGTCACCCTCAAGCGCCGCATGTTCTTCCTCATGGTCTACCACGTCCTGCCCAACGAGCCCTACATCATACTCAAGGTCATGCAGGAGAGCACCACCAAGGACGTGATGCTCCAGGCCCTGGCCAAAGCCGGCACCTCGGCCGACCACCTCGACGAGTACATCCTCGTGGAGGAGGTGTCGCGCAGCTGGGAGAAGCGCAGCCGGGACGAGCTGCCCACCCAGCGGGTCCTCGATCCCACGGAACGGCCCCTCGAGGCCCAGTCCCACTGGAAGGGCGAGGGCCGCTTCCTCCTGAAGCGCGTCGGCGACGACCCGAGCAGCCGCGCCTGGCTCGCCTCCATCCGCAGCACCGCCGGCCACGCCAAGCGCAACGGCGACTCGGGCGTCGACACCGTCGTCGGAGGTGGCCCCAATAACCCCGGTGGCCCAAATCCCAGCTCGGTCGCGCCGGGGGGAGGGGACGCGACCGCGACCACCCACATCTGGGAGGAGGCGGACACGTTTCTGGTGTGCGTGTACAACGTGTCCCCGGACATACCGTACGCGATACTGCGGGTGCCGGTGACGAGCTCGGCCCAGGACGTGCTGGCCCAGGCGCTGATAAAAGCCCGGCGGATGGAGGACCCGGCCAAGTTCGCCCTGGTCGAGGAGCTCGAGTGGGGGGGCAGCGGGGCCATGGGCAGCGGCAAGGTACAGTTTCGCATCCTGGGGGACGAGGAGAACGTGTACAGCACCCAGGCGTGCTGGAAGACCCTGGGCAGGTTCATACTGCGGGAGCGTGAGCACGCCCTGCCCCGTAGGCACCTGCTGCCGGCGACCCTCGACAAGATAAGCAAGGGCTTCTCGGTGGGGAGGTCGGTGTCGTTGCCGGGCTCGAGCAAGGAGAAGCTGCCCGTGACCGAGGCACTGTCGGATCCGACGTCGCGCAGTGTGCGCAGCCGGTTCTTGATGATGGGCCGCAGGCGGGAGGTACACTCGGACGGCGAGGAGGGTCGCCCGGAGTCCGCGGCCTCCTCCTCGGACCTGCTCAGCGCCGCGATGCACCTCAAGAAGGTGTCCGCGAGGAAGCTCCGCGCGTGGAAGTCATAGTGGCAGTCGAGGGCGACGTCGTTGTCCTCGATGCTCGCCACTCGGAGAAACTGCACTGATCGGCCTTGAGAGTATACATATACCGTATGATTTGTTGTCGCTGGTTTATCGTATGTATAGACTATAATTATACCTTTGGAGCGTTGAGAAAGAGTGTATCGTCCTCGACGCCAACTTGATTCATTTGTCGCAATTTCCTTGCCCCGCGTACAGTAAACCATGTGTACCGAGCACAGGAGACTCTGGATTTAAAGGAAAAAAAAAAAAAAGAAAAAAAAGGACATTGTTACATATAGTATAGCTTTCTCAAAGAGTACAAACGAGTACAAGTTCGCGCATCTGTCCCCGATCTTGGATATACATTATACATTTTTCACTTTTCTTCACGAATCAACGACTTGTAAATTTCTTTATCACGCTACCGTATAAGCGCGTGGCTCTCGGCATAGGTATCACAAATATAGGGATAAAGTCTATATCTTTGAAGTATTAAATAAATTATGCATACAAATAATAATATATATAGATTAGTGGATGATGAAAAAAAAAAAAATGGCTTATACAATGTAGTTACCTACATAATAGATTGAACAAATTACACAAGTATATGGTTGAAAGATGACGAATCTCTTTGGTAATTGATGAAAATATTTAAATGATAATGAAAAATTATGAATAATGAAGATGCAACGCCTATTATATATATATATAATAGGCGTTGCATCTTCATTATTCATAATTTTTCATTATCATTTAAATATTTTNATATACACGCGACACATTGTTTGTATATTTGAATAATAAAGAAAAAAAAAGAAAGAGGAAATAGTTATGATATAAACAAATTTTCTTACGGCCTTCTCGAGGCCAAACGTCAAACGTTACTGCGTGTACATCTTCCGTCGGATGGATGCGTGTGATGACAGATGCGTTAATATTATATAAATATATACACACACACATACAAATACAATAATTATTTATCGACGGGGGACGCTCGTCGCGCTCCTATCGGTATAAAAATCGAGTGGCCCCAAGGCGAATGCTTCTTTACATTATGACTGGTGACTCTTATCTCGAGCACTCGATTGTGATAAATCTTGGAATCTTACACAACAAGTGGCTCGTTCTCTCTATCCATCTCTGCTCTACAGGGACAAATTTTTTTCAGTTTTACTTTGACGTTTTGAGTATTGAAAAAACACTCGTTTAATTAGAGTATGTAATGTAATACAGTTTGATCGGATTTGTCGTTGATAATTAAGTGAAAACTTGAATAAAATTTAAGTAATTTTATCGATTGGAATAATATTTTTTTTAAATAAGCATTCGCTTTGTAACAAAAAGCGTTTTTTGATTTAAAAAAAAAAAAAAAATGGGGTCTTCAAAGGCACTATTTGTTATGCACAAATGGACCCCAGTTACAGTGGCAATAATCTGAAAAAGCCGCGAGATAGTGAAATAATTATACAATATGCACGATTATAGAATAACACGTTTGAATGATTAAACGTTAGTGAAATTATTGTAGGAGAAAAAAAAACATACAAATATATACATAAACTTGTAACTCGAACTGTATTTTAGATTTTTTTTAGAAAAGAGATACTAAACACTTTCAATTGTTGTATTTCAAAGCTGGACAATATACCGTTTTATTTTTAATTTTACCAAAGTTTGTGATTAAAACGTAGAAACTTCTCTGCATATATCTATAATACACATTAGTTGGTTAGAACTATCAGGTAAATAAATTTTTCTACGTAAATACATTTTTCTAATAGAATCGTCAATACTATTGATATTAAATGTCTGATATTTATTGAAATATCTAATACAACTACGGTGCCAATGTTTTTAAAAGGTCTACTAAAAATTAAGTATATGCAGAGAAGTCTGTTGTTACATGATAGCAGAATTTCTTTTTAAAATTTTACAGCTGATTGTAAGATGTGAAAAATTTTGGTATCTCTTTATTTCAACTAATATTTACATATATACAAGGATTTTAACGATATAAAACCAACTCTTTTCGAGTGCCAATTGCGTACACTTCCAAGTCAATGTCAACGCCATCGATTCGTCGATCACACACTCGAAGGTTGCTAAAAAAAAAAAGTCTAATTTTTAAACTGTCTCGCATAACAACAAACGATAAATAAATTTAACTTGAAAGAGAAAATTTTCTTTTACCTGCAAAAATGCATGTGTAAGGTGCAGATAAAGATCGATGCGCGAGACGGGAAATTCTGTAATAAAACAAGCAATAACCCGTGTTTTCGTGTCTCGCGCTCAGAGGCTTTTATTTTTCTACAACGAATTACGAAAACAATAGTAACTTGTATAACGGATTCTCTTTTTCATGTCTGACTATATACTTTATCCTCATATTCATGAAGTAAGTACCCATTTCTGCATCTGTAAGCCAAAGTGACGAATTTCAATAATTTAGTCATTAAATTTGCCGAAAAAAAATTAACGAAAAGAATAACTGTTTGCGACTACTTTTTTTTTATAAGAAATTGGCTCTATTTAAAAAAACAAACAAACTAGTACGTATACATAAAATGAATTTAAAAAATTTTTATAAACAAATTAGTACCAACATAAAAACACCGATACAACCGTGAAATTGCACAATCAAGATATTGTTAAATAATAGATTTGAAGAATATAGCGAATTCTGTGTATTCGAATAGGCATAGAAACACTGACTTCACTGAAGTTTATTAATGATAAAAGCGAAAAATTAAGAATAATAAACGATGTAGTAAATATTAAAAATTAGAGTAGTATTTACTATTATAAATAAATAATATATGAAAATTTCGAACACGAATGTGGTCTTTTTTTAAAATTTTCACTCTAAATGAATAAATTTAAGGTATAGTACTAAAAAAACACTGTTCGAGTTAAAATTACTATTGTATTTTATTCGCGTACGGGTGATTAAAATTGTTATCGTTAGTCATGAAAACTAGTCAAGTGATATGCAATACGAAAAATTAGACGTATAACGAACCACATCTGTCAAAAATAATACTATAGATTTTTTATACTTCTGAAAATTCATAAGTGTTTGCTAAATTAAAAAGAGTTTGTATACCAGTTATGTAATATAGTAAATGTTGATAATATAAATGAAAAATTTTGAAATTTAATTGATTTCTCGAAATTTCTAGTTTAACTATTAGATGTTTGGATGTGTCAATATTAGATGGTACTTGGAAAAAAAAAAAAAAAAACAAAAACAAAAACAAAAAAAACAAAAAAAAAGACTTTCGTGTTCGAGATTAAAATTTCTAACTGGCTCTATCGCTTCGCGATCGTCATATGTTACATTAACTTGTATTTAATAACGTACATAATTTACTACTTTTAAAGTATTCNAGTCATGAAAACTAGTCAAGTGATATGCAATACGAAAAATTAGACGTATAACGAACCACATCTGTCAAAAATAATACTATAGATTTTTTATACTTTTCAAACGATTCGGAAAAAAAAAAAAAAAAAAAAAAAAAAAAACAAAAAAAACAAAAAAAAAGACTTTCGTGTTCGAGATTAAAATTTCTAACTGGCTCTATCGCTTCGCGATCGTCATATGTTACATTAACTTGTATTTAATAACGTACATAATTTACTACTTTTAAAGTATTCGGGACCATTCTCATACGATGCTACTTACGTGAGAAGAAAAATTATAAAAGAACAAAAATTAAACAAAACGTGCTAACAAATGGTAAAATACAAAAATAAACAAATAAGTTTTTTCTGTTGTATCCCCTCCACCCGCCCCGAAAATCTCAAGCGTGAGAGGCAAGAAAATTTGCACAATGCATAACATACACAGTGTGAAATACATATCCACGTACACGCATCATACTGTTAAACGCATAATACATACGTCCACAGAGAGAACTAAGTACGCTATCAAAGCGCATGTTTAAGCAAATGATAAAACGAAAGTGTTGAAGAGACAAGTACGCGAGATGATGAGTACATGAAAAAAGATGTGTAAGAAACGAGTTGTACAGCCGCACATTTAACCAATACGCATAGAAAGTACGAAGCTTGGATTGTTGTTTGTTACGCATATGCAGCATTGCACTTATCCACGAGGTGGATGTCTTTTTTTTTTTTTTTTTTTTTCTCAATCATAGCCAGGCTGGCTAGGCTATATTATGAGATAGGTACAGACACCCATGTAGAAATGCGACTGGTGTTTCGCACGTTTGCATTATTGCGCTCTAAAAACAAGCTGGACTCTTTCGTGATTTAAATGTAGTAATTTTTTCTTTTCTTTTCTTTTCTTTTACTAATTTTCAATGATTATTAACTATCTGTTTTTTAATGCGTGATGACATTGTTTATTTTTACTATTGGGTTTGTTTTACCGTTGAAATATTTTTTATTAAGATTTGAATAACAAGAAAGTATTAAAAAAAGTACTATTTTTATGAAATCACGAAAGCAATCATAATTTCCCTGAATTTTCCAATTTAACGAGAGAAATAATATATTGACAAAATATATTTATTGCTTGTATTATAAATAATTAAAAATGATTATGAAGGAACGTTGATTGTTCAGGAGCAATTATTTTTATGAATCAGTAAGGCAGAAATATATTTTTAATTTAAAAAAAAAAAAGGATCAACGAATCGATTGTTTCTCAAAGTATGCATCGCATTTGCTGCTTGTTAATGTTTACAAAGTAAAAGAAAAAATCAGCGATGCAACCATATATAGACATCTATTTAGGTATAGTCGCAGTATTGACATCGACGCAATGACACAGCTCCTTCCATCTGTACATAACTGCAAATAACCCTCGAACGGATATGTCCGATCGTCCACTTTATTTTATCAACACAACGCATTTCTTGTCCTTCGACTTGCGTTGGACGCCTCATATATTATGACGAAGAAAGTTTCGCACGCACGAAATGTTCCTCAAACCAGATACTTAATTTTCAAGCTACGATGCTATATGCGAACATAGATATATTTTTCGCACTTTTTTCCTCGACTCCTCATTTCCCACCGGGAACGCGTATACGCTTTGTTGTAACGGGAAACGATGAACCGGAAGTATCGTTGAGGTGCGAGTTACATGAAAAAAAGAGAGAAAAAAAAAAAGGATGAGCGGGAGAGAGATAAAGTAAATACTGGCGTATCAAGAATTAAAATGTTGTGTGCAAGAATGTGTTTTAAAAAATCAAGTCTTTTAATAAATGAATAACCCGATCGAGAGCCAATAATCGGTACGTCGTAGTGCAAATCCGAGGGAGAATGACAAATAAACCTACAAACATACTTTGGCATGATTTTACCGCGTAGACTCTCTCCGTTTGTTTCTGAGGATAAAAAAAAAAAAAAAAAAAAATTCACCAATAATTAAAAACTGTAAAATAACAAACGTGTAATCTAATCTAAAAGCATGCGGCCATATAGATTACGAAAAATTACAATTACTTATAACTATTGTAATAATTATTATACTATAATTATTATTGACATTGTTGATGAATCTACATGTAAATAAAACAATAAAGAGCCTTTTTACAAAAAATCACATCAGTTGTTTGTATATTATGCCACAATCATGAATAAAAAAATAATCGCAAGTATTGTCGATGGCAGCTCTTATCGCTGTATGTATATATGCCGAGTTGATAAGTAAGTATCTATAAAACCGCAGTGCCAAAGTTGCCGTGGTCTTGTTCGGATAGTGCGAGTTAAGATGTCGATTAGTGAGGTTATGTATTAAAATATAAACTGAAAATTCATCTCGTAACAGTTGAAGTTCCATAATTGGAATTTTTAATTTATCATTGCAGAAAGTGAATTTCACGTACAGAGGGCTCATAGTGCCAGTATTTTCTCCATTTAACAACGATGCGTATGCAAAAAATATTTTTCAAAATTTTTATACATGTATGTGGTATCGCGAGCGTGAGATAAAAATTGTTGTATTTTTAGAAACCGAAGTTTGAACTTGTCCTTGATTCCGGAGTATGCGAAATTTCTCGCTTCGAAAAATGTCACTGGCATCCTCGGTACGTATACATTTCAATAATGATGCCCATGGTATGATTGTGATTGCAATTTTTTGACGTTCCAAATTTTTCTTTCCTTTTGTTTTATTTGCCCCCAAAAAATCGTTTGAAATAAAGTTAATGGAACCACTGGAGAAGGTACGTCATTATCCATTGCCGAAAGAAAAAGGGTAGCAGAAGTTTGGGCTGGTGCAGTGAAAAAAACCAAACAACATTTAATGATCCAAGTTGGTGGAGCAAGTCTCGCAGATGTAAAGGAGCTCGTAGGTTTCTTTTTTTTTATCTCTTTACTTATTCATTCATTCATTGGTTTATTCACTTGCTCGTGATATTTTGGACACTGGAAGGCTGCACACGCTGAAGGATTAAACGTCGATTCTCTTTTGTGTTTGCCAGAATTGTACTTTAAACCTGCTACGGTAGAAAAACTAACGGAGTATTTGCGAGCCGTTGGTGAATGTGCTCCGAAAACGCCACTGCTTTACTACCACATACCAAGTCAAACGTCAGTCAACGGTGAGTATGGAGCGCATCAATTGTTACCGATGTGGAATCGGTTGGACCGAACGTCAATTTCATCCTTTGGATTTTTTTTAGTTCACATGGGGAGATTTTTGGAGTACGTTGGCGACAAAATACCGAATTTCGCGGGTATAAAGTTTACGAGCAACGATTTGGACGAAGCTTATCAGGCCCTAACGGCTAACGGTCGTTTTGCGGTTTTTCTTGGCAGTGACGTGGTACGATAAAACATTCGTGGAAAAAAAATAATTAAATGTTCATGAAATATTTTTCATTACTACGGAAACTAATTTTTTCTCAAGACCATGTCAGCTGGTTGTACTTTGGGAATAAATTCGTTCATAATGACGAGTTTGAATTTCATTCCGGAGCCGGCTTTGGAACTGTTGGAGTTTGAAAAGGGCAACAGGGATTTGAGGGCTGCGCGAAAGAATCAAGAGTTCATTATTAAAACCGTGAAAGAAGTGACGCGTTACGGTACGTGCCTTTTATTTGCGAATATTTAAAATCACATTAATAAAGTAATGATCAATATCATAGGCACTTGGGTCGAGACAATGAAAATTGCCATGAGTTTGACGACGAAATTCTTCATGGGACCCCCTAGAGCTCCACTTGCGCTTCTATCGAGAGAAGATGTCGAAGCGATGGCGGGAAAATTGATTGAAGTTGGCTTGACAGTGAATAAGACTGAGGTTTTAAAAATGTATTGATTTTTTAATAATATTTTTAATAAACGACACTTTATATGAAA